CAGGCATCTGAAGTGAGGGCAGCCTATGGGGCCTGCATTAAGGCGGTAATTACAGTCAGGACTGAACTGCAGTCCACACAGGTTGCACTGACCGGGGTGGAAACGAAGTAGACGGTTAGAGCTGGTGCTGCCAAGGGGGAGCAGATGAAACGTGCCAGGCAGGAGACAGTGATCTGGATTCCTAGAGACTGTGCAGCCATCACATCAACTCCACGCTGCCTACCTTCAGACTTCACACTTTAACCTGGCAGCTTGCTTGCCACTATCAGACTCACTCAAATTAATGTGAGTTTATCACCAAGTTGTCCCTGGCTATAAAGGAGATGGGTGTTCCCTCTGCCTCATGAAGAGTGGGCTGGGGGTGCAGACCCACAGGACTCCCGGTCCGGTCCCAAGACAGAGACAACTGGTTGCCCTCCTTGCTAAGAGGTGTCTGTCGTCTCCCACTCACTGCCTGAAAACTGACCCCTCCCTGTTCTGCTTCTCCAGGCTGCCCTGCCTGCCAAGTGTCCATGGCAACTCCACGCTGCACTTTTCTGTCCATGGCTTCAGTCTGTTTCCGGCTTAGCTTCCTTAGAGCTTTCATGGGCTGCAGGCTTTTCAGCTTCTGCTGCTCCTGTTCTCTCTGCATCACTTTCAAGTTCTGGAGAGAACTGAGGTTGGTTAAGTACATGCCTTCTAGTATGGACAAAACTTTCCTTGCAGACAGCCTATAGGATGGCTGCCCTAGGGTCAGATGCCACCCTGCTCTTAGGTACTAGTTAGCTATTGCTGCCTAAGACATCACAAACTTAGCGACTTTAATTTATTGTCTCATGGTTTCTGTGGATAAGGAGTCCAGGCATTTCCTAGCTCAGCCCTCTGCTCAGGGTCTCACCAAGCTGCAACTAAGGTATCAGCTGGATAGGTTCTCATCTGGAAGTTCAACTAAGGAAGAATCATCTTCCAAGCTCATTCAGGTTGTTGACAGAATTCATTTCCTTGCTGTTGAGGACTGAGGATCCAGCCTCTCACAGGCACTTTCTGGAGGCCAACCGCAACTCCCAGAGGCTTCTTGCAGTTCTACAGGCCACCTGCGGTCCTTTGCCATGTAAGCCACAGGCTGCTTCATCAGGCCACCTAGGATGGCTTCTAGACTGAGTCTGGCAGCAAGAGAGTCTTCCAGAATATAACCTGGTCAATGAAATGACATCCCCTCACCTTTGCCATATTCTACTGGGTAGAAGAAAGCCATGGGTCCTGCCCACATTCAAGGGGAAGGCATAATACAAGGGCATAAACGCATGGAGGAGGATCATGAGGGGTCATCGTAGGGTCTGCCTGCGACACCTTGCATGGCAGCATGTGGGGCTGGGGCAGTGCTGCAGCCCGTGGGGCTGGGGGAGACAGATGCTAGGTTTGCCTAGGTAATAAACAAATGAGGGCTAAAAAATCAAAGGATGTGAGAAAGTTCAAAAGCTTCACATCTTTTATGTGCGTAGCTCATTTGATCTATACAGTAAGACTGAGGTAAGTAGTGGTATGCTCATTTGACAGATGAGTGAACTGGAAGGGACTCAGTTTCCCTGGCTGGAGCTGGGCCAAGAGGAGTCCTGGAATTAGAAGAACTGCAAAGAGTCAGTATCATTAGACCACCCACGCTCTGAGACTGAGGCCCACTGGAGCTTTACCAACACTTGCCAGCCACCTGCTGACATCTGGGGGGCCAGCACAGGGCCCTTGCATCGAGAACTTGTCCTCTTTGTTAGCAGAGGGCAGTCATCAGTGTATAAACATCAGCTTTTCTCTAGCTCACCACCCAGCAGATGTGGTATCTATTGATGTCTGTGTTCACTTCATCCAGACTAACTTGTGGGGGCAACATCATTTCCAGGAACTCAAGATCATATGCCCTGAGACTGTCAGAGGGCTTGAGCACCTGAGAAGTGCAGAAGGTTCAGCCAGGCCAGGCCAGGCTGTCTTCAGCATGCCAAGCTCAGTGGATGGAAACTCTAAATCCTAACAACACAACCATGGGTGAAACATCTATTTTCCTTCCAGTGTCCATGATGTGAGAGACTGGAGACATGAGTAGATAAAATAGCAGAGATGTCCCTAGCAACTAAGGAAAGGTCAGATTTCATCTATGTACGATGACGTATTTGTGACTATGCACAGTGTACATTTATTGAATTTTCTGTTGATGGGAGATATAAAGATAAGTCACTTCTCTCTCTGCCTAGTCCAGCAGGGATGCTCCAGAAGAGGTACTGCATAATTTCCAAGAAGGTGCCCTGCAGGATGGGGGAGGAGGGTAACTCGAGGAGAGCTTCTTGGAGAAGGTAAATGATTTTCCTTTCTTTCCAGTTAGGAGTTGTAGAATGGGCAGAACACTATTAGATGACTGCTTAAGGTTGAGGCCTTATACAAAGCACATCAGGCCTGAGCAAAGCCCTGGGGAGTATCCAGTATTTGGGGAAGTAGGAGGGACTAAATTAGTAAGGCCTTTGAATACTGAGTTTAGGGATCTGGACTAGATTCTGAAGCTCCTGGAACATCACACATGGGAAGGACAGACTCAGATTAATGCTTTAGGAAAAGAACTCTGTGGAGGACAGATTGGGGGCAGAAAGAGATCCGAGTGGGGGCACTCAATTATAGCATTGCTATAACCCGGACAAGAAAATGAAAGCTTGAGCCAACACTATGAAAGATATTGGAAAGGGGGTAGCCAGGTACATATGGTGACTTTGGGAAGAGTGGAGACCAAAGGCAGAGAGGGTGGTGATGCCAGGAATCAGACCCAGAAATCAGGAGGAGGAATACATAGGTGAGGTCATTAATAAAGGCATTCAGTAAGTTAAGTTCAAGGGTTTGTAAGACATATATGTAGAACTGTCAGTGTACAACTCAGAGGTCACTGTGTAGATAAAACTTTGAATCATTTTCAAGAATGATATTTGAAACTGTAAGAGTACATTAAACCAGTTAGGAAGATAGTAGAGCATAAAAAGAGGGTGGGAGTCTCAGGGAATGCTGTATTTGTGAGAAATAGGTGTAATGGAGCTTGATACCAGGAGGAGCAGAAGCAGGAGAGAGTGTGAGTGTGGAGGCCAAGGGAAGAAAGTTTACTGTCAGTAAACAGACAAGATGAAAACTAAGCAAAGACAACTGGGTTAAGCTGAATAGGTCACTAGTAACTTTGGGAGAGCAGCTTGAGAATGGAGACAGGAACAGAATGCAACAAGGAGTAAGAGACTGCCTAAAGGGAGGGAGGCCGAAGGATAGCACACCAGTTACTTTTAGTAGAAATTTGAGGAGGGAAGGAATAAAGTGAGAAAGGAAAGTGGCTTGAGGGAGGAGGGGTATTTGAGACTCATCCTTGTTGCCAGGAGCTCCTGTCCTCTCAGCAAGCGGGTTCCTTACAGAGCTCTGTGCACGACAGGAAGAAGGGATTTGAGCCTCGTTTATTTCTAACTTGTCACAGAACCCCAGGTCTAAACACCATCTGGGAAGGGAGAAGGCGGGCATAACGTCTATTACAGATAGATCGAAATTTTGCTTCGGCACCTTTGGCTTCCACAAGTGTATAAACTTCAGTCCTCCGCCCAAACAAAACAACAAAACGACGCCCCTCCCGCACCCGCCGCTTCTCTGCAATCTGGGACAGCGCAGCAGGCGCACGGGCCCGGGTCCGGGTCCGGAGCCCATTCCGCCAGCCTGCTTTACCCGGGACACGGCTCCCAGGCGGCGCGTCCGGCGCAAACCTGCCCGCCCCGGGGCTCAGGCTTGCAGGCAGTGGCCCTGAGCGGCGACATCGAGTCCCACGCGGCGCGGGGAGCAAGCACAGCCGGGAAACCGCGGCCTGCCTGCGGCCCCTCCGGCCCACCGACCCGGCCTCCACCACCCGCTTCGCGCGCCGCACCACCCGGGGAGAGTGACACTCAGAACCTTCAGCTGAGAGAAAAAATGGTAGAACCGACTCCGAACAGCAAAAGGGGTGTGTGGCTCGACCCGGCAGCTGGAGCCCCGCCCAGGCCCGCCCAGGCCCGCCCTCCCGGCCCGGAGACTACATTTCCCAGAGGCTCCGCGGCCTTGAGGGGCAGACCCGTCCGCTCTCGCGCTTACACTGAGCGCTGACTGGCTCTTCTGGAGTGGGGCGGGGCTTTCTTCGGCCAATGAATGGGGGGCTCGTTACGGCGGCGGAAGCAGCGGCGCTGGGCTGAGGGGTGGGGGGCAGAGTGCCAGAGCCCCGGCGGCGGCGGCGGCGGCAGCGGGTCGATAGACCGAGGACGTCGGCCCCACGGGCGGAGAGCTTACGGGGGCGAGCTCGAGGCGGCACGGCGGCCACTCGGCGCAGCACCCAGGTAATGGCGGGACGAGCGCCCGGGAGGGGAGGAGAGGGGAGGAGACGAGGGGGCGGGGCGGCCGAGCCCGGCTGCAGCGTCCGTCCCGCTGCGCGTCCCCGGGGAAGGGCAGCGGTGCCCAGTCTCCTGCGGTTCACACCTGGGCTCTTTCGCGAGCTGGGCACGGCGGTTGGGCCGGCGGCAGGGCCAAGTGCCCTGCGGCAAGGGAGGGAGAGGAGTCGGGAGGGGTGGGCTGGTTCGGGGGTGGGGGCGTGGCGGGCGTGGGCCTTGGCGGGGAAGCGGAGCGGCTGGGGGAGCGTCGGCGGGCGGGCGGCCCAGGGAGTTTGGTTCCTGGAGCAGTTTAAAGTGACTCTCCACATCCGGGCCCTGCGCCCGCCGCTTTCAGACCCCGGCCGAGGCGGAGCCTACCGGCTCCCCGCCCCCCTGGCCGGGAGCGCCTGTCTTCTCCTGCCATTGGCTCAGCCTGGAGGGGTTTGGGCTGCCCCGGCCAGGCTCGCTCCTGATTGGCTGATGCTCGGCGGGAGGGTGGGGCGGGATCTGAGCCCGCAGACCGTGGCCGATTGGTGCCGGCCCTCGAGTGACGCGCCCGGCGTGGGGCCAATGGGCGCGCGGGGGAGGCAGGGGCAGGTCCGGGGGACGGGGACTGGAGCGGAGCGGGGCCGGGCAGCGGGCTGAGCGGGCCCGCTGGCTGGACCGCGGCGGGCCCGAGGCGCTCCAGCACTAGACCTCCGCGGCCCGGCGCCGCACGGAGATGGGCCCTCCGCGGCAGCCGCAGCCCGGAGAGATGGAAGCGGGAGGTGCGGGCTGCGGGCGGCGGCTGCAGGTAAAGCGGCACACTGCTTGTCGGGGCTTCCCACGACGCCTGCTCTTCCCCGGGAACAGAGTCTGAGACCCGGAGTGTCTGGCGACCCGGGCTCTCCCATCTCAGCGGCGGGGCGGGGCGGGGGCGGACGAATCGGGGATCTCGGCAGAGCTTGGCTCCTGAAGGAAACGTGGGGGTCGATTTTAGGGAGGGCGGTGAAGCACTCCGGTCCCTCTGGCTCGGGTCGGGGGTGTCTGTGAAAGAGGGGCGGGGGGAAATCCGTAAATGGAGGCGGCCCGTGCTGAAAAGCATTTGAGAATGCCTTCTGGCTCACGTCTTGACGTATGGTTTCTGATCTCTTAGGGCATCTCCCCTCAGAGCCTCTTGTGACATGCTGATGACAGTTGTGTTCACCTTGATGTGAGGCTTAAGCCTTTCAAAGGGACGTGCCATTTTCCATAAAACTTCACACAGATACATATGTATTATGTTAATGCCTGTCCCGTGGCTGTGGTACAGGCTTCAGTGTCGATGTTTTAGTGTACCAATTCAAAGTATTTCTGAAAGCGCATAGCATCCCCCAACACCACATAAAGGATTGTACTATTGAATCTATGTACATACAAAAATTTAAAGAATTTAGACCTATTTCTGTACTGTATATTGATTAAAAGTAGTTGTTATAGATAAATGAGGCTGCATTTGCTTTTCTAAGAGAAGATATAGGTACTAAGGCTGCTTTAATTTCTCATTATTGAGTCTAATCTCAGAATCCAGTGATAACCATATGACATATGCACTGCAGGTGGAAATGAGTTCTCAACAGTTTCCGCGGTTAGGAACCCCTTCCACTGGGCTAAGCCAGGCTCCTTCACAGATTGCAAACAGTGGTTCTGCAGGACTGATAAACCCAGCTGCTACAGGTGAGCTATCTGCTATTCTCCTATAATGCTTTCCACTTTAAGAATATTATCAGTTTTCTAATGTAAAAATCAGCACATTCCTTGTGGCAATTTAGTCAACACTAGGTTATCGGGTTGGAAGAAAGGATATTTCACAGTTCTAATTTAAACAAGGGGTTTTTCCTTCCTATTTTAACCACTTCTTTTGCATGTGCTAGAGTAGATGTGAAACTTATAGTAAGGCATGCCTACAAGAACTATTTTTTTAATGTATTAATGTGTCCTCATTTAGTAAAGGCTCTCAAATAGTGCCATGAAGGAGCCCAAAAGTGTGTAAGGAACAGGCCTTGTCTTTTAGGAGCTTATTGTGTAAGAAAAGAGAATTTTTTTTTTAAGTTTATGCATTTATAGGTAACTTGGTTTTTATTTGTATACCCTTTGGGTGCCATAGATAAGTGGTCCTCAGCAGGGGATGATTTTTGCCTCCCAGGGAATATTTGGCAATGTTCAAATACGTCTTGGTTGTCATAACTAGGGGGTGCAATTGGCATCTGATTTTTAAAGGCCAGGGAGGCTGCTAGACATCCTGCCTGTGGGGAGGACAGCCCCCCACCAAGCATCACGTCAGCAGTGCCGAGGCTGAGGAGCTCCTTCAGGTTGTCTCCTACATTTTGAAAAAAAGATGGCACTGCGAAGTGATAAAGTACTCATTTCTCTATTCCTTTTTCTTTGCTACCTAATTCCTGTGTTCCTTATTGTGGTAAATGGTACCACTGTCTAATCGTTGCTCAAACCAGGAACTCCAGCCGCATGTTCAGTTGCTCTTTGCCTCTCACTTACAAGCTACCACCGTTTGTCTAATGTTTCTGCTTCATTTTCTGTTGCTTTGCCCCCTTCCTGCCAACTTAGTTCTTGTTACAAATTTAGTTTTCTTTAGACTTGAAGTAACTCTAAGCTATTTATGCCTCCTATGTAATCATATAGCTACTCATTTTCTGAGTGAATGATAAAAAGGTCCCAATTTTCTTGCCTTGGAACTTTACGTATTCTGTTCCTTTTGCCACAGCTTTCCTTCTTACTTTCCACACTCACTTCTCCGATTAATTCCTGTTCTTTGAGATTTCATCTTAGACGTGACTTTTCTCCAGGAAGTCTTTGCTGATTCCATCATCCACAAGAATGCAGGTTAGGATATCCTACAGGAAGGCAGAGACCATGTCTGTCTCTTAGACCTTTGTGTGTGCAATGCTTGCTACAATGTGGGGCACAAAGAGTGGTCAGCAAGTTCATGTCGAGCCACTTAAAGTTCTTTATTCCTTAACATATTTTTAACAATATTTTGTCTCTGGTATAATTCACAGCAGGATAATTTAAAGAAGCAAAGTTAAGGAGAATATTTTTGCACAAATGTTTGTAAGGAATTGACTGCTAATTAAAAATTTTAGTTAACAGTAATTGCCCTCAGATTTTGCTGAGAAGGAAATCATTAGACCAAAATTGTCTATAATTTTACTCCCAAATAATGGGCTTCTTCCTTCACTTGCTCTTAAAAAAAAAGATGAAAGTTTTCCTTAAATAGTTAGGTATCTCTTTGTATTTTCATTTACTCTTCTCAGAATAAGTAATTTGGGATCCTAAGCATATCAGGATTTCAAGTACATGTTTACAACCAGTTCTCTTAACTATTGCTTCAAGATTCTTTTCTGGTAAAAATAAACTGAAATAGCTCCAAATGTCTGGAAGGAAATGATATGCGGTTCCAAAAAGAGCCCAACAGAGAGTGGTCAATACATGCTATCTTAATGAAATTGTCAAAAGTAAAAGTCTTCCTGGACAAATAGGTTTAAGGGAAAGTTATGAAATTTACAGTGTAACTGGGGGAAAATCTGTTCAGATAGTGGGAAGTTTAAAAATCACTTCATAGTTGAAACACAGAAGTAAAACTGTCTTTATTAACAAATAACATGGTTGTGTATGTAGAAAATCCTTAAGAACGTTTTTGAAAAGCTGTTAAAACTAATAAGTAAAGTTAGTAAAGGTTACAGGACAAAAGTTCAATGTACAAAATTCAATTGTATTTCTACTACCTGTGAAAATGAAACTTTTTTAATGACATTGATAGTAGCATAAAAAAACATGCACACACACAATACTTAGGGATAAGTTAAAAAATATGTGTAAGACCTAAGGTTAGAAAACTAAAACATTGCTGAGAGAAATTAAAGATCTAGATAAATGAAAAGGTCTATCATGTTCATGGATTATAAAACTCAGTATTTTTAAGTTACCAATTCTATCCAGAGAGAACTGTAGATTCAGAGAAATCCTAATCAAAATCTCATCAGGCCCTTTTATAAAAGGTGACAGCCTGAATCCAAATGAAACCAAAGGACTTAGAATATAGCCGAAGCAATTTTGGAAAAAAAAAAAAGTTGGAGGACTCTTTACTTCAAAACGAGCTATAAAGCTACACAAATCAAGGCAGCGTGATATTGGCATAAAGATAGAAATACAGATCATTGGAACAAAGTGGAAGATCCAGAAATAGACCCACATGTAGTGGTCAGTTGATTTTTTTATAAAAGTGTATAGGTTAATTCCATAGGGAAATGATCAGTCTTTTCAAAAAACAATTCTAGAACACCAGAATATCTATATGGGAAAAAATAAACCTTGACCTTTATCTTCACCATACACAAAAATTACCTCAAAAAGTATCACGGACCTAAATGTAAAACTTAAAATTTAAAAAAGAAAACCTAGGAGAAGCTGTTTGTGACCTTGGGGTAAGCAAAAATTGCTTAGGTCACAAAAAACACTAATTATAAAAGAAGCAACTGATAAATTATACTTCATCAAAATTAAAAATGCTCTTCAAAAGACACCATTAGCAAAATAAAAGGCAAGCCACAGATGAGAACACACAATAGATATATCTGCAAAAGACTTACTTCCCGAATATATAAAGAACCCCTGTAACTCAACAGTAAAAAGACAGCCTGAATTTTTTAAATGGGCAAAACATTTGAATAGACTCTTTACCAAAGACACTGTGTAAGTGCCAAATCAGCACATAAAATATACTCAACAGTATTAATCCTTAGGGCATTTCAAGTTAAAGCCACAGTAAACTCTACCATCTTACTTGAAGATCTTACCATGTTCATGGCTTATTTTTTTTTAAAAAGTTATATACATCCACTGGAATGATGAAAATTAAAAAACCAAGGATACCAAGTTTTGCTGTGTTTGCAGAGCAAGTAGAAAACTGACATGGTTGGTGAACCTACCACCACCTATCCACTTTAGTGAACACTTTGGCAATATCTTATAAAATTAAACAACTTAGCATACAACCCAGCTATCCCATGCCTAGGCATTTACTGAAGATTCATGAAAATGTGTGTCGTACATACCAAGACTTATACTTCAATGTTCATAGAAGCAGTATTCAAAAAAGCCAAACGCTGGAAATAACTTAAATTCTATCAACTGGCGACTAGTTTATCTGTACAGTGGAATACTGCTCAGCAATAAAGAGGAGCGACTACTGGTGTGCATAACATGGATCAACCTCAGAAAAGAGTACGCTAAGAAAGAAGCTAGACATAAAAGGCCATGTGCTGTATGACTTTCTTTATATGAGATTCCAGGAAGACAAAGCTGTGGTGATAGAAGGCAGAACTGTGGTATCTAAGGAGTAGGGTTGGCAGGAAGGGAACTGACTGCAAAGGGCATGAAGGAACTTCTTAGAGTAATGCAAAATGCCCTGCGTGGGCATCTTACTGTGGTTACAGTACTGTAAATTTTGTGAAATTTAATTTTATACAAGGAATTAGTGGATTTTATATGTAAACTATACCTCAATAAAGCTGATGGGTTAAAAAAATGGATAAAAGATGAACATACACTTCACAAAGGAAGATGTATGTGAATGGCCTATGAGCACACAAAAAGAAGTTGAGCATTACTAGTCGTCATGGAAACACTAAAACCATAGAATGTGTATGAAGAGTTGGTAAGAATGAATGAGGAGCAACTGGAACTCTTCAATTAGCTGCTGGTGGGAGCATAAAATAATACTACTACTCTGGAAAGCACTTTGGCAGTTTTGTATGAAGTTAAATAGTGCTTACTGTTTTGCCCAGCCATTTTGCTCCTGGGTTATTGGTGAGAGTGTCTGTAAAAAAAAAATAATTCCACTCTAGGAATAGCCATTTTATTGGATGTGAATTACATCTCCAGCGGTTTTTAAAATAAAAATCTTAAATAATCTGAATGACCTGGGGGGAAAAGTCAATACCTGGCAAAATATAAAATACACATCAGTCTTTTCAGCCAGCATTTGTACTTTTAGGAAGTTTTTTCCTATGATCATTGAACAAGGACTCAAAGTACATATGGATGTTTATCCCGGAATTGTTGAGAATATCAAAAAATTGGAAATAACCTAAAAGCTCATCAATGATATAGTGGTTAAAAAAGCAAATATAGTACAAAAAAATTTAAAAAGTAAATAAAAATAAAAAGCTATAGTATATATATCTTTGCAGTGTAATTCCATTTAGCATCTTAAAAACAGTGCAGTATGTAGACTCAGCAGTTCCACTGCTTGGTATTAGCCGGTAGAAGTGGTACATATGTTCACCAGAAGACATGTTTGAAAATATTCCTGACACAACTATTCATAATTGCAAAAAAAAAAAAAACCAGAACTGTCTAAATGCCTGTAAACAGTAAAATGGATAGTTGGTGGTTATTCATGCAGTAGCATACTGCACCGAGAATGAAAGCCATACAGCTATGTGCAGTGACATAGGTGAATCTTATACCTGTAAGTGGAAGAGCAAGACACAGCAGGGTACATTCGTTACAAGTCTACCTCTGTTATGTTCAGAAATATACACAGCAGTAATCTGTAGTGTTGGAAGTTGGGATAGTGAGGATCTTTGGGAGACAGTGACTGGAATCGGAAAGAACAGGGTTGCAGGGAACCAGTAATGTTTTACTTCTTGAGCTGGGCACCGGATATTCAGGTGTATTCAGTTCGTGGAAGTTTGTTGAACTGCATAATTAATATTTGTGCATTTGTCTTTATGAAGGTTACATAGTTCAAAGAAAAATTAAATAAAAGCCCACCAAAACTAAAAAATGAGAAGTGTCTGAAGGATTTACCAAAATAATAACTCTTGGTGCTTTTGGGGGATAGACTTTGGGACCAGCTTTACTTTCTCTAGTGTTCCAAAGAACTAAAAATTTTCACATAAGTATGATCTTTATGTCCAGAAAAATGTTAGTATTACTTTGGAAAAATAATAGACAAGTATGAGGTACTATTTTCACAAACTCTTTACTTTCACTACATTAGTTCCTTGATTTTTCAATGTAATTTTTAAATAGGTTACATGTTTTCATGGTCCAGAATTCCAAGATTAAAGAAGTACACAACGGAAAGTATCTCTCCCATCATTATCTCCCAGTCATCCATTCTTTCCCTTCAAGCAGTCAGGATGCTGTGGGAAGATATGTTATCCATGTACAAATATAAATGCATATATGTTTGTGTGTTAATTTGCTTTTTCACTGTTCTGTACCTTACTTTTTTCCTTTATATATATTTTTTATAATATATACTATGGATTTTCTGTAAGAGTATCTAAAACATTGTTTTATTTTTAACTTTTAACTTTTATTTAGTTGCATGGTAGTCTACTGTTGGAGTGCACTCTAATATAGCCAGTCTCCTGTTGATGGTCATGTGGTTTTTTTCAATGCTTTTACTAGCATAAAAATGATTAAACAAATTACCTTGTAATTAGTAATTTTACACATATGCTGTCAGTCTATCGGATACATTCCAGCAAGTGAAATTGTTGAGGCTCAAAGGGTGCACACACTGTAATGATAGAGATTTCCATGTTCACTCTGTGGGGATTGGGACTGAGAAATTTGTTTTGAAAAATTATATGCCCTTGGACTTAACTGTACTTAAGTTATCTTTAATGTTCGGCTTTTATAACTTATTACATAAATATTCTAATGAAATTCTTGTATATATATTGTACTTTCAACTAATTGAGCTCACTTGAGATAGTTGTCAGGCTCTTTGTTCATTGAAGTGGGAAAGCACGGTATCCAAAGAAGGCCTGTGTTCCACAAGTGAGGCTCTTGGGTTTGATCTCCATCAGGGGGATCTAAATCTCACTGGGAGATGGTCAGTTTATCAACCCTGAAACTTAGCTGCAAATGCCACTCTGGTATATACTGTTACATTAATTAATATTGGAAGGATATGACATGTTCTTTTACTGTTTATGTCTTTACTAGTCAACGATGAATCTGGTCGGGATGCTGAAGTCACTGCCAGGGAGCACATGGGTTCCGGCAGCTCCCTCCCGTCCCGGGAAGAGAAGCAAGAGCCTGTTGTGGTAAGGCCCTATCCACAGGTGCAGATGTTGTCTACACACCATGCTGTCGCATCGGGCACACCTGTCACAGTGGCAGCCCCACCGGCACACCTGACGCCAGCAGTGCCACTCTCATTTTCGGAGGGACTTATGAAGGTAATGGAGAGGCTTAAAATCTCACACTGAACCACAGCTAAAGACTGGCTGATACTCCTGACCGTTTCACAAGGTCTGAGGCTATATCGTAGGAGCTTAGGTTTTTTTTTTCTGACCTACCAGTTCAGCTCTGCTCTGTAGCTCAGAGTTCTGCTGGTCTGCAGTGCCTCATCTCGTGCCGCTGGGCAGTTGGCATCACAGGATCTTTTCCAGTGTCTTTTGATACTGATTTTATTCATGTTCTGGACATGCTGATTCAGTTTTTATCTTGGAGTGGCACTCTTCTCCAAGGTTTTGTTTTAATAGCATGCTAACTCGGGGGTATCTGAGAAGATTGCCTTGCGTATTACCTTGTGGTTGTTTCAGTTGCTGGGAGTTCATTTACTTCCACCCAACTTGGGAGGCAGCATTGTATAAAAGAAAGAATGTGGGCTGTGAGCCACACAGATCTGGGCTTTATTCCCAGTTCTAGTTTTTACCATCTGTGTGGCTTCAAGCAAGTGACTTAGTCTTGCTTTGTATGTTTCCTCATCTGTAAAACGGAAAAGCCGTGATGCTAAGAGATAAACTATGTAAGTCTTCTGGCATCTTCCTGGTACTCTCCAGGTTTGATTTGTGTACTTTTAACTATAGAATGAAATGCATCACTAGTAAAAAGCTGTTGATATGTTTCGTGTGGTTTTCTGTTTGCAGCCGCCCCCGAAGCCCACCATGCCTAGCCGTCCCATTGCTCCTGCTCCACCTTCTACCTTGTCACTTCCCCCCAAGGTTCCAGGGCAGGTTACCGTTACCATGGAGAGTAGCATCCCTCAAGCTTCCGCCATTCCTGTGGCAACAATCAGTGGACAACAGGTTTTTTTCCTCTTAATTTGCTGATTTTCAAACTGAGATGCCAAACTGTTGATCATTATTTATCAAATGCCAGCAGTACATCAGGCACTGTATGAGTAAGAAGTTAAATCATCACTGACACCCACAAGGGGGAGAGAGTGGGCTTGAGAGAAGGGGAGCTACCGGGAGCCCGGCTGCTGTGCTCAGTGGCACACGCACGCTGGTCGCCGTCACCGAGTCAGTGTGCTGTGCATGCGCTGTGTGTGCGGCCTCTGGCTGAGATGTGCACCGGGAAGGACACTCCTGTCCCTGGGAGCTCTGAGTCCGGCTCTGCCTGGCTGTAGGTCCAGTGCTGGTGGGTTGAGAGCAGCCTCACTCGCCGCTGGGCTGCTTCTCTAGGGTCTCAGGAGGGCAGCAGGTGGGCCTCCTTAGGCACCTACCAGTCGCCAACATTGATTTTGAAGTCTCGTGTTTTAACTCAGATACTTTTGTTGAATTTGTAGTGCTATTCTATAATATGTATTTAATTGGTTTCAGTGTATGTATATGATAATATATTGAATATATATATATATATATATAACCAATGAAAAAACTGAATCTCAAAACTCCCTTCATGTTTTAAAAAAATATTGATATTCTAAGATGCACTGTGGTTTTCCTTTCGCCATACTGCCAAGTACTCCTGGGAATCCAGGCACCCCTGCTGAGAAGCCCTCGCATCAGGGTTGGGAGGGTGTGAGGAAGGGATACCTCAGGGGTGAGCTGAAGCACTGGTGGGGGCATCCCTGCCGGGTGCTCACTGATGCTCACATAGAAATCCCACGTGGCATAGAAACGGGTGAGTGTGGGGGCTTGTTCAGGAAGTAGTGGAACTAGGGGAAAAAACAAGCTTTTGGCCAAGACAGAGAAAACAAGTGTGAATAACACTGAAGATGAGTGTCTGAAAGTGGACTGTCAGGTGTACCATCTGTCATAGGGATCTGGCCCCTCACTAGGCTCAGGGCTGGGGGTGGGTCCTGCATCACTTACCTCACGCCTGCTGGCACAGGTCATTCTGCAGTATGCTGGGTAAAAAACTCAATGTCCTTGGGGTGCTTACTATCTCAGAGGAACAACCTGACCCTCATTTGGAGGCAGCTGACTTCCTAGAAGCTATAGCTAAGCAGCCCTGGTGCAGGCCAGGCCCTTGAAAATAATGCTGTACCCTGTCTCTTCCAGGGACACCCCAGTAGCCTGCATCATATCATGACCACAAATGTACAGATGTCCATCATCCGCAGCAGTGCCCCGGGACCCCCTCTGCACATCGGAGCGTCTCATCTACCTCGAGGTGGAGACTGCATAAAAACAATGTCAGATACATGTTTGGAGGAGACACGGTAGACAGAGTGTGTCCAGAATCAGCTAATTAAAGTCTGTCGGACGGCAGGAATAAACAAGAGTGGTACCCATTCTTAGCGTGGTCAAGTGTGTGCTTACTGTACTTGCATTGCAACAAACATATGTACTTACATGTAGAAACGAGGCAATTAGATTTTAGTATGATCTAAAAGTTGTCCTTTAAAATGAAGAACTCAAAGCAATGAATTCTCAATGCCTGGTCTTTGCTTTTGGTAAATAAGTCACAAATACTAATTTTGAATAAATTTTAGGTTTAGAGATAATGGTTATCCCAATTTTTTACTCACATAGTAATAAGATGAATTCTAACAATTAAATTTTAATAGGTTGTAAAGTATTACACTTAATGAGTTTTGTCAGCTGCTTGATAGGAAGTTGTACCTTCTGTTGGGGAAGGTAAAATTGTTGGTAAAATCAGATTAATAAACCCAAAACCAGCTTTATTTTATGGTAACATAACTGGTTCACTGAGGTTCACAGGTGGCAAAGGTCAGAACTATTTTCATCAATCTTAAGACATCATTTCCTTTCTCACAGTACTAACATTTGCACTGAGGGTGCAGGGCACTGGTGGTTCTTGGGAACGCTCACTGTCTGGTGGCCAAACTGCTGGAGCCGTGGCCTAAACAAGGCAGTGGCACCACACCGTGCTGGTTCTTGTGTGTACCGCACAGCTCCACACACACAGTCACAAAAACCAAAGCCAGCCAGTTTCCTTTAAGAATGTCCTTGAGGAAACAATACAGATTATTGATCTTATTAAACCATAACCCTTGAGTACATGCTGTCTTAACTTTCTGTGTGATGAAATGAGAAATAAAAGTAAAGCACCACGGCCAAATGCTGTTGTTCTGGATTTTAGAAGTTGTTCCGATCCCCTTCTTGGGGAAGTGTTGGGAGTGTCGAGCCTGTATTAGAAGTTACTCTGATCACCTTCCTGGGGAAGCGTTGGGAGTGTTGAGCTTATTTCTCATGCTAACAGAAGCAATTTCTTCCAGGCGCAGCCGCTGCTGCCGTGATGTCCAGCTCCAAGGTGACCACGGTCCTGAGGCCGACCTCACAGTTGCCAAATGCTGCCGCAGCTCAGCCTGCTGTCCAGCACATCATTCACCAGCCAATCCAGGCACGTCCAGGCTCAGTGGTCAGCCAGCACGTACAGGGCACTGACTCGGGTGACCCACCCCACTAGGAGCCAGCAGTCCTTGGACCTCCTAGTTGCCCAGGTGGAGGGAGGGTTGAATTATGTACATTGTCATGTGATGAGCTGTAGGAATTTAGGAGAGAAAGGGTAAGGGAAGGCTTTGTTCTGGGGTGGGTGTGGTCATGGGATCAGATAAACGAAGAGGAAGTGAAAGAGCCATACGCTGAACAACGGCGAGGACAACAGTGGTTATAACTGTTGAGTAACGGCCAGCCGGCACTGAGGGATCCGAATTTGGATGGCAGTTGGGAACCCCTAATGTATACACATGTGCATAAACACATACATGCTTTTTGAGGGAGACAGTACATGCCTTTCAGTGTTTTTCAAAGTAACATCTGGCCTCAGTACTACCAAAGTATAATATGTTACCAGGGGATATTGCAGTGTCTCTTAAGTTCAGAACTTCAGGATACAGAGTGTACACTTGATTTTATACACAGCAGAGACCCAAGTGTTTTGGATGCAGTAATGTTATGATGAACAAAGTGTCTTTGAAAAATTAATCTAGCTGAATTCCATACCACAGGTGGAAGTTCAGGTACCTTTGGGGGCCAGATTAGTAATGGGTGTGAAACAGCTGGGTTTCAGACAGTACGGAAGAGTGCTGATTAGGAGACTGTGTGCACTTGTGCAGCCTGGGGTTTGCAAACTGAAACAAAATACAAGGCCTTGCTGAAGACTGACCAGGCCCCTGGCAGTATGTATGGCATATAGGAAGGATTGGAGAAAGAGGAGTCACTAGTGAGGAAGACACTGCAGCAGTCCTGGTGTGAGACAGGAAGCTGTGGCCGTAGGCGCAGCAGGTAAGAGGGCTGCAGGTGACCGGGAGAGGTCAGGGATGGGCAGAGTTTATGATTTAATTGAGTGTGTCAGACAAGAAAGGGACTGCTCAGAAGAGCTCAGATTGGACGAAGTGACAGTAGACAAGCAGATGAAGCCCAGTGTTGAGGTTGTTTGTCAGATGAAGATCTTACACATGGATATAGTGGTCAAGGAAGTAAATCCATGTGAAAACATCCAGAAAGCATCTGTGCACCCCGAGCCTTCTGCAGGCGAAGAATGCTGTCAGCATGGGTTTGCCTTTCGTATGCCACCTTACATGGCCTGAGAGCCAACAGCTCTCTCCAGGCACTGAGGAGCCCTGCAGTGGGAAGTGCATGGTTGTGAGGCGTGTGAAATGTCTGCACCAGGACCGTGACAGGTGTGTGGGACCTCTAGATCTGCAGGGTTCTGTCCCACCTGTATGTGTGCTGGAACAGAACTTGGAATCCTGTCATATTTGGAAAGGAGGGACTTGTGTACCGTCCAGCCAAAATTGAGTTTGTTTGATATTTCTGCCTCTTGGTCTTAAAACACCTGTCTGAAAATGAATTCCTTAGAACGGCAAGAAATACTCATTTGTAGGCCCAAGTTTCAAATGATATTTTCAGTATTTGGCTTACTGTATTTTATTTGGCTTTTTCTAAATGAAATGTTTTTTTCCCTTCGTAGTCTCGCCCACCTGTGACCACCTCTAACACCATCCCTCCCGCTGTGGTAGCGACGGTTGCGGCCACCAGAGCTCAGTCTCCAGTCATCACTACGACAGCAGCACATGCGGCCGACGCGGCACTTAGGTACACGGGGGGTGGAGACCCGGCTGCCCTGCCTCCTCCTCGCCATTTCCTTTCCTGCCTTCGTTCCTTCATTCAACTCAATAAATATTGAGTGCTTTTTTTTATGAGCCATGTATGTTCACATACTGAGGATTAATGAGTGATCAAACAGTAAGAAATGCCCACCCTCACAGAGTTTTACTTTAGGGACTGAAGACATAAACAATAACACACACATATACACACACACACACATGTAGTTTTTTAGATGGTGAAAAGTGATTTGGGGAAAAATTAGGGTGAATGGGATTTGGAGTGACATTACGGGAGGTTTACTGTTTCATGTAAGGGCATCATGGAGGGCTTTGTAGGTAAGATGAAAAGATGTGATGAAGCAAGTCATATGGCAGTCTGGGGTAAGGGCATTCTTGGCAGCAGGAATAGAAGGTGCAAAGGCCCTGAGACAGGCATGTTTGCCACATGTAAGGAGCAGCAGCAGGAAAGTGGTGAGAGGTTATTCTAGCAGGTAACGGGCCCCAGATGACGTAGAGACTTATGAACCACTCTGATTTGGACTTGGCTGGGGTGCAGTGGGAAGCCTTAGCAGAGTTCTGAGCAGAGCAGGGCCGTCATCTGAAGTTCTAGTTGGAGCAGCCTAGTTGCTGGGAGAGTGAGCCGGGAAGAGGCGAACTGGAAATGTGATCCAGGAGCATGTGGCGGGGATCCAGGAGAGGTGGTTGTTCATGGAAGAGCATGCTTAGATTCTGAATGGAATTTTGAAGAGAAGAGGATTTCAGAGGTATAACACAGGATGCCATGAGAGAAAGAGAAAAATCAGGATTGTGCCTGTGTGGTTAGCAGATGCGCAGCCTGAGATGGAGAACCACGGGAGGAATTTGGTTTTGGGCATTTTAAGGTGGAGCTGACTTTTGAGCACCTGGGCAAGATGTTGAACATGTGAGTCTGGAGTCAGGGATGAGTTCTGGAGGAGACGGTTTAGGAGGACAGTAGATGGGGTGGAGGTTTATGAGAGAAAATGGCTCCCAGTCAAGAGGACTTAGGGAAGCAGTGTCCTCAGGAGAATCAAGGCACCTAGAGCAGGATGGTAAAGGAGATACTCAGAGAAGAGGTTGAGGACGTAGAGGGTTTTGCTGAATGTGTAAGTTGAGAGGGTGTCGTGGAAGGGTTGGGTGTTCGGAAATGGAAGATAGTACAATGAAGAGACTTGCAGGGCTATACAGGGATAAAGTCTGCTTGGTGAATGGTGGTCTCGGATATTTCTTAGGACTGACACAGATAGCAATGAAGCCGTGATGGCCTTTGTTCTCATGATGTCCAAACCCCCCTGTGGGCTGAGGCTGTGAACGCTGGGGAGGCAGGGGGCAGGAGCATTGCCAGGAGCATGCAGGCTTCCTGGGGTCATTCTAGATTCTCATCATTGGTGCTGTGGGTGCCAAGGAAAGAGCCTTTTGGCAATATAAGCAAGTGATTCACTGAATAGAAAAAGGGACAGTAGGCCTGGAGGGGAGAGTGTCAGGAGCTGGACTGTCCGTAAGACTTGGTTACAGTCAGAAGCAGGGCTGCGTGGGGAGGAGGAGCGGGCAGTGTGACATGCCTCCTTGCTTGACTAAGTAAGTGAAAAGGGAAGGAAGGAAAGAAAGCAGGCTTAGAAAGAATGTTGAGTTGGGGGGAACCTGGTTTACATGGAAGGGTCAACAGGCCAGTGAAAAGATGTCTGGGCCAGAGATCATGGGTTTAGGTCACCAACAGTTAAAGCTTTGAGGTATCTGAGTCTGTGTGTCAGTAGGAAATAGAGTGAGAAGAGGGCCTGGAGCGGAACTCAGGGTGAACACTGAAGTCCGGTCGTGCCTAGCATTTACCTTTAACCAGTAGCTCTGTCCTTTACTACCTGTGTGACATCAGGCAAGTCTGTCAACATTCCTGATCCTTAGTCCCTTCAATGAAAAGAGGGCACTTTACTCTTCAGTGATTGAATATATTGCCTGAGGTACAGAAAGACACAACTGCCCAACGTAAAATAGATTATGTGATGTTCGTTTTAACTTTCTATTACCTTTAAAAAGTTAATATATTCAAGTGATATGATGAAATTCAAAAGGCATAACTGTGTATACAGGGAAAACAGGTTAGGGTGTGTTTTTAAAAACTGTATTATCAGAGTATGTTTTCCAGTGTACCGAGTTTCTAATAAAAAGTAGCTACTGAGTTTTGTGGGCACACTTGCAGCATTTACTTGTACTGCAGCTACCACGTCCCTCTGGCGTGCCGGTCACTGCTCCAGACACTCGGCATATGCTTCTGAATCAGTTGCGAGCCCTGATGTGCAGGTGATTTCTTCACTTATGTCTGTACCCATGACAGATTTCCTAATATCTAACTTCCTGTGAAGTCTGGAGATGGAAAATTTACGGACACCAATTTCCACAGAAGAATAGGAGAAAATTTCAAAGCACTGCTTCCCAGAAAAGCACCAGGCCCACACAGTGTCACAGTGCCACTGAGTTCTGCCAGACTCCCAAAGACCACAGAAACCGGTGGTAATTAAATTGGTTCAAGACATAGAAATAGAGGGAAAGTTCCCCCTAAAATTTAAGTGAGGTCTTCCTCCTCCTGTTAAGTAGATTGAATCCCATCTGCCAGGTTTTTTAAAATCTTTGTTGTTGTTCATCACCTGATTGAATGAGTCTTTGATTTACTTCAAGAAGGGCTTATAGGACCAGTACTTGGAATTTTCACATGCTCAAAATCATTTCCCAGATAGCCTTATACTTAAGCAATGGTTTGGCTGACAAAGAAGTCACTTGGTTTGTGTGTTCTTCTACAAGTACTTTATAAGGGTTTTTCCTCTGCATTCTAGAACTGGGTAATGCTGTACAGAAGTCTGAGGCCAGCCTCATTTTTTTTAACCCCTTAAAAGGACCTTGATATTTTTGCCTGATTGCCTAAGATTCTTTATTTTCAAATTTCAGCAACTTTACTGGGATGTACTTTTTTGTGACCATTATGTATCATTTTGTTCCAGAACATAGTGTACCATTTTAATCTGCAGCATAAAACTATTCCTGAATAGTATTCTTGAGCTTTATCTTTGTGTGTCTATTCTGTTCCCTTTTGTTTGGGAGTTGCACCCAACTATGTGTTTGTTGGAGCATTTTGCACAACTTCCTTATCTAACCCTCTCTGTTTTTTCTCCTTTTGATTCTGCTTACTTTTGTCACAGTCTCCTCTGTCCCTCACTGAGTGTTCAGCATTGCCTCTCATGCTCCACTTTTAATTTTGCCTTCATTACTGAAACAGCTGGAGGAATTCCGCTTCTTTAGAGCTTGCCTGTTTATTTCATCTCCTGGTGTCTTGTCATCACTCCTGGTGAGCTCATACATCTTTGTTTTTGTGTTCATTTCATGGAAGCAGTGATTTCATTAAGTTTCGTAATTCATGGCACAGTTTTCCTTTGCTCAGTGAAAGCATTTGTGGTGAACTTGCCTGTTTCTGTCCACCTTTGTCTTGTAGCATGTTTAAGTAGATCCTGTGCTGGTCCCTTTCCTTGTGCTCATCTTTGGATGAATTGAATTTATTCTGGATCAGCTACTTGTGTTTAGTTCTTGTTATAGGCTGGGCTGCACACATAGTGGCTTAGAAGAAATGGTCCTAGTGACTCGGGGTCCTGTGTTTGAGTTTTCTTGGTTGTTTCTTCTTTCCTGCCAGTGAAGACAGACTACTCAAAGTGGCAACATGTCTCTTTCCCTGGGTCTCAGCACAGCGTGTCCCACATGGTGTGTCTCGTAGGTCAACCCTTTGTCCTTAGCTTTTTGGGTCGTGGAGGCAGTTTGGGTCCAGGTCCTGCTTCACTGCTGACTCCCACTGTTACAAACAAAGAACCTTGATTTCCTGGATCAGAGTACATGCCTAACTTTGGAGGGTTACGCTGCCCTGGGTTTTGCCCCTTAGTTCCAGCTGCGGAAACCCACCCTCCCTCCTGCAGCTGCAGCGTCCCTGTTTGCTGGTCACCGCCTTTGGTGATGCTGCTGCCTGCTCGGTGGCAGGAGGCCTCAGGTGTCCCCCAGCTCTGCCACAGATAGAGACGGTATTTCTCTTCTGTGTTTTCTTTGTTTCTGTCCTTTGAAAGGAGGAGAAAACTCCACACTGGTGGTCTCTGATGCAGTCTTTCCTCGCTTCAAGAAGTCAGATAAGGACCCAGCTGAACACTTGGGGGTTAACAGCTTAAACCCATGTTTTCTGTGTCTGTCAAGGTTCTAGATCGGGTCTCCATCCCTAGAGCCTCCTCTGAAGCCGTAAAAGCAGATGGATCACTGGGAGCAATCGTGCAGCGATTGCGACAACAGACCCAGGAGCGCTTCCTTGCTGGCTGACCTTACTTAATCTCTTCAACCTTTGTGTGGAGGGCGGAGGAGTGGGGCAGGGACGAGTGACCACTATTTCAGGGATATTTTATTTATTCAATGTGTTTTCATCAGAATCCCTCTATTTTCTCCCAGTAGCCCCAAATTTGGCTGGTGAGAACCGCTTTGAACTGGCTCGGGTATCTTCTGGTAACTCCTGTTAGTCTTTGGGTACTTTCTTCTTTATAGTACATGATGAATCAGGCCCATTTTTACTTTCCCTGCTTCCCTAGTCTTGAAAGCAGCCATTTCTCCTAGGATCCCTGGTTGCTTTTACTGAAATACCATTGTACTTAGAACCCAAGATCTGGGAACTAGGGGTACACCTTGCTTCTGGGCTCTCATTGCTTTGGGCTTTCTGTGGATGGAAATAGCAGGCAGTCGTGTCTTCATACTGGCACTTCCAAATGAAATTTAACATTACAAGTTTTTTCTTGTTTTCTTCAGTTTTTTGTATTTGTGTATCTCTTCTCTTGCACTGAAAACCTTACTTCCCAAAGACATTAATATAAGTGCTTGGTTTTTTGCATCCATAACACACAAAAAATAATTTCAGTGACAATTCAAGAGTCCCAAATCCACTTGTCATGAGTTAACCCCTTATTTTCTGTAGATACACTGACAACAAGCCTACTGAGTAGTCAGTTAAGATTTCGTCACAGCTCTTTGTTCTCAGACCCAATTCCACTGAGCAGAGTAGGGATGTGTTGGTCCAAAAGTCACTTGAAGTAGTTCTTTCTCTGTAGGATATGTAGTAACATTTTCTTTTTGCTAGTTTATATTCATATGTTCCCAGAATATAAACATCTAAGAAGGTACACTTTGAGGAGGGTCATTCATCTGTCACCCAGATGCCAATTCCCCGTGGTCCTCTATCCCTTTGCTTTCTAAGGTAACCTGTTAGGAGTTTCTTGGTTATCTTTACTGTGTGTTTTATTATAATTTATTACATAGTTAGGATTCTTTATTTAAATTTGCTGTCAAAGCTTTATAAAAAGACAGACTCAGGAGTGGCTCTGTCCCCTTCTAGTTGCCCCCTGCTCTTGGTAGGTCACCATTTTATTTTCCTCGGATTTGCCCTCTCAGTTTCTTTTTATTAGAAAGGTATACACACAGATAAATGCATACATTTTCCTTGTTTCTGCTCCTTTCTTACAGAAAGCACAGCATTTTATAGTCACACATACTGTCTCACACCATGCGGTTCCTTTTAACAGTATCTTCTGCAGGTGACTCCAGATCAGTATGCAAAGATACCTCACTCGTTCTTTTTATGTCTGACTGAATTATACTTAGCATGTGGCTGTGTAATGGACATTTTGGCATATGCTGTTGTGTGCTTGTGATGGTATACCTTGAAGGTATATTTGTGGAAGTGGGAGTGTGAGGTCAAAGAGTAAATGTCTCAGTTTCCTCACCTAGAAAATGGCAATAATACAACTACCACAGAAATCATTACAAGGAATATCTACATTAATATATGTAAAGCACTTACAACATGCCTAGCATGTAATATGCTTTATATAAATATTAACATTTGCTTTTTTTCATTGAAGTAAATGAAAATCAAACACTACTATATAGTCTGTGCTTTAAAAAATATTTGAAAAAACATCTCAAATACTTAATATAAATATTTATTTTTGGGTATGTTTGTGTGAATTGGACCTTTAAATCCAGTCTCCAATATACTTTTTTAAGATTGAGTTTTTACCTGGTGAAACCTCAGGGGCAACCTGGTAGCTGGAGTGACAACTTCATGCAGTGCTTCCATGTCCGCAAATAACCCCTCACCTTGTGCGGTTAGTCAGAAGTCCCCCTGGAAGGGGGCGCAAAGGCCCTGCAGGAAAAAGTCCAGGCGGTAAAATGTGGTCCTGATCACTGCTTACTCACACTGAACCGGTGGTGTTCAGGACCCTGTCACCTGGAGCAAGGTCTGAGCTCAACATTTGATGATAACTCATCAAGAATTATCTTACTATCTGTAGGCTGACCGAGCAGGGATCATCACGCCAACACCTGGCCCCACAGCCTCCATTTGGACCCTCACAACAGCTGGTGTGGCGATGGCCGTCTCTCGTCATTTAGGAGCTCAGAGTACTCGCCTCTCCCTGAGAGCGCAGAGGCCCTGGTCTGAGCGGCCGGCCCTGCGCAGGCTGACCCTTCCGCAGTGCACCGGCTCTCCGCTTCATGGTGGAGGTGCCCTCACTGCGGACTGGCGCAGGTCCTTTTATTTTTCTCCTTCAGATTCCTGGATGTCACTTTGGGGCTCTATTACTCATAATAAAAACTGGATTCTGCCACAGAATACAAAGATAATGAAAATTTAGATTCTCGGGACATCTGTGTCCCACTCCCATGTTGAATGACCAGTGGAAGAGGCATAATATAAACAACCAGAGGGTTTTTTAGATTTATCCTGGCTTTTACGTTACTAGGTTTTTGCTGCTTTTCTTACATTTCCTGCATGTATCTGAGCACCACCTGGACAGAGACCATGAGGGAAATCTTTCAGGGTCTGTGTCCTTTACATTTTAGATGAACACAGGGAACGGGCTTGGGAGATGACTCATCCTGAAAAAATACAAAATGAAAATTTACAAATACAAACCCAGTCTCTAGTAGTGGGCTTTCTCCTCGGTGCTTTCCACCAAATTCCATGGTGCATCTGTGGCCAGCCTTTTGTCTTTCCTTTAGACTCCAGTGATTTGCCGGCTTAGTTATCTGTCTGCGGGGAGAAAACCGTCCTTTATTCAGTTGTCAAGCTTTATTCCCTGATAACCCACCATGTCTGGTTTTAAAACTCTTTGAGAGTGGGTCCTTAGATGGAACCACTGCGAGTTTGGACACATGAAGTCCCAATCAGATTATCGGCTCAGCTCGTCACCTTCTGTTGCTAAGTTATACTCACTTGGTTCCAAAACAGAAAAGAACAGAGAAGCGTATGATGAAAAGAATCACTCTCCCCTCTACCAAGCTTCCTGTCTTGTCCCTTTGCTTAAGTTACTGCTAATAGCTTACTGAGTCTCCTTCCAGCATTTCTTATAGTCACATTCAAATTAAATTCTTTTATCCTTTTTATGCAAAACTGCTTAATTCATGTATTCCTCTTTTACTTACATTTTCCCACATTACATGTATAAAGAGCTTCCATTTCATTACTTAGAGTTTCGCTTTTCTTAGTGGTCATACAGTGACCCCTTGTGTGCGCAGACGTGACCTTGGTTCCAGCAGTGTTGTAGTGAATAACCTTGTGCTTGTGTCATTATGCATGTGCACCAGAACACCTGTGGGCTAGAATCTCAGAAGTGGTCATAGGGGATATGCAGCTGCAATTTAATACCTGTAATTGCCTTGCTTAGAGTTTATACTCCCTCCAGAAGGTTTTAAAGTGCCTGTTTCCTTGCAGCTTGAACAGTGGGGCTAGGCTGTCAGGTTTGTGGAGGGTGGGGGGTTGCCAACCCGACAGGTGGATGATATCTCAGTATTTTTTAAATTGCATTTCTCTCCCTATGAGTGAGAATGAGCACCTTTTCCTTGTTAAGGGGCTGTTTATGTTCTTTTTTCAGCAAACTGGCTCTTCATAGCCTTTGCCTGTTTCTTATTGGGCTGTTACTTTCCTCTTTGACTACTAAGAGCTCTTTGTCTATTAAGAAGATTATACTTCCATCTATGGGTGGTTTTACTTTGCTTATAATATGTTTTGCTATGTAGGCAGTTTGCTTATTCACAAAGTCAAATTAGTTGATCTTTTATAGCTTTTGGATTTTGAACACTTTTCACAGCTAAATAGCTCTCTCCCACTCCAAGGTTATAAAAGAGTTCTCCTATCTTTTCATTATGTACTCTTTAATTTGCTGTTAAATCCTTAATCTTCATATTTATCCAAGGGTACTGTGTAAAGTATGGATCCAATTTTTTTTCCCCAAATAGTTACCTAGTCTTCTAAACAGCATTTATTAAATATTCCACTCTCTGCCACCTCTGACTCGAGATACCAACTCTTACACTGTCAAATTTTCTTGCCATTGTTGCGATTTCAATAGCTTGCTGCCAGTTAGACATGCATGCTGTCTGTGTTGATGTCCCTTTCAATCACTAGGCAGTCAAGCTGTAACTGCCTAGCGTGCAGGAAGGAACAAAACGAAGAGGGGGTGGCTGGTGCTTCATGGGCCACAGGTTAAGCTGCTGTTAATCAAGGTTGTCTGTAATTTTCTCTCATAACATGAGAGCCTTCATGATCTGCAGCTTTGTCCACAGAATAAGTGTGTTTGATATAATAATGGTTACTTGAGAGTGTCAGTGTGTTGATCAACTCTGTCAAGGGCCCTAAATGTGACTAAGGTTTGAATTTATTGAGTTCATGGTACATATTGATAATTTTTGAATTGAGCTTTACAACAGTTTCAGGAGAGAAACTCGATGGGCCATTTACTTCATTGGTTCAACTGTGGACTTCACAGACCTGTGAAAAAATACAGCTGCACCACTGTGGTCTAGTTCAAGGTAGTAAATGGCCTGCATTGTGTCCAGAGACAAGCTATAAATCAATGTCGTTTCTGACTTTTCAGTCGGCCAACTTTGTCTATCCAGCACCCACCATCTGCAGCAATTAGTATCCAGCGCCCGGCCCAGGCACGGGATGTCACAACAAGGATCACACTGCCATCTCACCCTGCATTAGGGACACCAAAACAGCAGCTTCATACCATGGCTCAGGTAAGACGAGAGGCGGAGAACCATCCAGTACTCTGTGGGCTAGACCAGCATGGTGTCACAGCTGCTGAAACCTGCCAGCAGTCTGTCAGCGATCGCTCTGACTGGGCCCAGTGGGTAGGTCCTTGTTGATGACTGTGGTGTGGCTTTCCCCACAGAAAACGATCTTCAGCACTGGCACACCAGTGGCCGCAGCCACGGTAGCACCTATTTTGGCAACCAACACCATTCCTTCAGCAACCACAGCCGGTAAGTCAGCAGCCCTGCTCCTCCTGGCAGGGAAGAATGAGGCCTGCGTGGTGAGCTGCCTTTTCCTTTCCCAGCGTCGGCCAGAGAGAGGGGGCAGGCGAGGAGTCTCTCAGCTTTCCCCCAGAGCTTCTCCTGAGTGTTTGAGAATCTGTGATGTGTGTGGACAGGTCACTGTTGAAGAACTCCCTTTCTTCTCTCATTTCAGGATCTGTGTCTCACACGCAGGCACCCACGAGTACGATCGTTACCATGACGATGCCCTCACACTCATCCCATGCCCCCGCCGTGACCACCTCGAACATCCCAGTCGGTAAGTGCCGTGCAGCCTGCAGACAGAAGCTTGAAAGGAATTTTTCGCTCTGCAACCCAACCAGGTCTTCATATGAATGGCTAGCATTAATTTTTTTTATTGTTGATTTGCAAAGCAACCCTGAATTTAACTTGTAATATTATTTGCCTCACACTTGGCATTGACAGTAGGAAAAAAAAGGTTAACAGTCTTTGAGAGCTCAGAGTAAACCTTATTCAACTCTTGACTTCCTCGTTCATCAAACTCTACTTTTTTGTATCTTTTCAAGAAGTAATTTGACTGGCATAGTTAGATAAGAACAACAGGTAAAGCAAGAAAGAAGCAAAGAAGTGGAGTGAAGAGAACTTGTCACTGACAGGTGGCTGAGTCCGCACCTCCGGGCGGCCCGGAGGCTGGCAGGCGGAGAGCTGCCCTGCTCACACTGGCTGCCGCTCTGAGTGCTGCCCCGAGGCCCTGCACACCATCCTAGAATTCCTTGCAGGCTGTAACTGGAGGTACTTTGAATATAAAAAAATCGTTGGAAAGTTTCTGGCAGTGGATTGGCAGGCTTCTCTATGGACTGGATAGTGACTGTTTCAGGCTTTGCAGGCCCGGTAAGTGTGTGTTGCAGTTACTCAGCTATGGACAATATGTAAACAAATGCACACGGCTACGTTTCAGTGACATTTTTTACAGACACAGAAGTTTGAATTTCATTAATTTTCATGTGTCATGAGGTACTCTTTTGATGTTTTCCCCCCAACCATTTGAAAGCACTCTTAGCTCACAGGCCTTACTGAAAGCGGGCCTCCTGCCGATGTGGCCCACAGGTTGCCAACACCTGTTCTAGGGGCTGACATCTCACAGCTGCCAGAGCAGAGACATGGACGCAGAACGCTGCTCTCTACCCCACAAGCCACAGGTTTAGTGTCTAATGTTACTTTAGCCTGGGTTTGTAAAACCAGTGAGCACACTCCCCCACCAGTCTCCACCCCCAGAGACAAGGGATAGCTGCCGGATCTCTAACACGCTGTGCTTTTACAAGTGAGACTGCTCTTACAGGAGGACACAGTGACACATTTTAACTGTCTGAAATCTGGAGACCATAATAGCAGTGTGGCTTCCCTACCTGCTGTGACCTGGGATGGGGTGCCCCCCTCTCCCTCCCTGCTTCTTCCTTCCTTCTTGTGCATGTGAGACAGGCTACATCTCTACATCCCTCTTAAAAAACTTCGAAGATACTTTTCCAGAATAATCGTAGGACCTAAGAAACCCTACTTCTCTTTAGATAACTGGGCCATTCCTGACCTGAAATTGGTACTAAGCCCCCCGTAGGCTTTTAGCAGTGAAAACACAGCCACTGATCTTTCTCATGTCACTGCTTCCGTGGCATTGGAGAGACCAATACATACTTCTCTCATACCCCTCTGAATTAATTGCATTTCCACCAAAAGAAGTTTGTTGTGTGTGTGTGATTTGAGCACGAATGCCCTTCTGCTGAAAAGATTGTTGGTGGTTCCAAAGCCCCCCTTCTGACCACATCCTGGCTGTGCCTCACCAGGCCGCCAGTGCTCATGCTGTGCCATGAGCCACACCCATGCTCATGAGCACATGTGTAGCTACGAAGATAGCCGCCCCAGTGAGGCTGAGGCACGCTGTGGGGCTCTCTGGTCTTGCCTTAAACCCTCTCCCTGAAGAATTGCTCAGAGTTGGTTCTTGTGGGTATCACCGTCTCCCCAAGAGGCTGCACTGGAGGTGAGCTCACTGAAGGACCGGGAGATGGGTGTGTCTGCTTTGGCTGAAACTACCAGCGTTGGTCCTCACTTACTGTCGTACTGTATTCTGTATTCCAGCTCATTCATCTTGGGATTGTGCCCATTTACTAAATTCCAGATAAAGTCATTTGACAGACGTGTCCAAACACATTTAATGTCCGCCACTTACATGGTTAGTTTTGCCTAAGTTCCACGGGTTTATGGTCTACTCTTGTTTTCCTCTTTCAGAGGAAGCTAGATATTTCTTTGTTGCATCATAATAGGATCCCTATACAAAGGTACCTCATTTGAGAAAGGAAACTGGGCTCTAGGCACTGATTTTTTCTTTTAACTTTTATTTCTCTTTTTTTTTTAAATTAAGGTATCATTATTACATTCACCCTTATTATCGAGTCCCCCCCATACCCCATTGCAGTCACTGTCCATCAGTGTGGTAAGATGTCACAGAGTCCCTGTTTGTCTTAACTGAGCTACGCTGTCTTCTGCATGACCCCACACACATCATGTGCACCAATCTTGATACCCCACAGTCCCCTTCTCCCTCCCCACCCCTCCGCCTTGGTAACTACTAGTCCCTTCTTGGAGTCTGTGAGTCTGCTGCTATTTTGTTCCTTCAGTTTTAGACACTGATTTTTAAGTTGGGGTGTAGGAAATACACTAAGATCTCCTAAACAGCTTTTTCCAAGTGACACTTGCTTCCTCCAGGTGAGATTAAATACTGAGTTCAGCCATTGTTGCTAATGGAAATGTGTTGGGTCAGGGAAAAACCTGGTTAACCATAAGCATAGTTGTGTCACTAATGAATACTCATCTCCATCAGAGTACCTCATTTTCCCTGAGCTCTGGCCCACTTGTGACAGGGGTTCAGAATTATAGAAAGCAGAATCAGATGATCACAGCATTCAGAAAACAGTATCTTTGGTGATAGCATTATGGCCAATTTACAGTTTTTGCATTGTATCTCTCCTTAAGTTTTATTTATGCATTTTTAGATAACTAAGAATGTACTTTTTGTAATTAGAAAAAAAATAAAGACATAAATTTGTGGGTGTGTGAATGGTTACCAACCACTGGTTAGCTAATTTGCAGGATGAACCTATCGGAAGCATTATTTTCTTCCTTTTTTGAACACAGTGAAAAAACAAGGTTTAGTTGCTTTCCACTCAGCTCCCCCTCTTACTTAGTGATGGAAAATGTGTCATGCCAGCTTCTCTGCATTGGCCATTAAGTGCCATCATCAGAGGTTGAATTGGGCGTCCCAGCTGTCATCCTACAGAAGTGCACCAGCTGTTCTCCTCAGGAAATGCCTGAGAATTGCCGTGGGTTTATGCGCTTACCTCTGTGTCCACGGCACCGCACTCCAGGCGATGTGACAGCATCCTAGTCACTCGTGTTTGTCCCTGGTGTACCTGGGGTCTCTGCAGATGGAGGCTGTCCCTGTGTGTATCTCTGATGTAGGTCTCAGCTCTTCTTTCCACATTCCCAGGCAGAGGGCTAATGGGTCTGTAAGAACAGTAAGTATGTCCCTCTTCACCTTTACCTTCTAAACAAAATTTGATTGCATATTGTGGAGAAGAGCAAAGTTTGAGCCTTAGATGAAATTGGAACCTCAGATTAAATATGAAAACTGTGGTCATTGTGATTTTGCTTTAAAGTATGCAAAATCACAGGATATTCAAAGGACCTTAGAAATTAAGTGATTATCTAGAAAAGGCCTCATAGATGAGAAGACTGAGACCTGAAAATTAAAATGATCTAGTCATTACTAAATAGCTATATATTTCTAATTAGCCTGTGGGACCTTGAAGTAGACTCACAAGTCTGCCATTTCTGAATTCAAAATTTTGTTGATTCTTTTTTTTTTTTTTAAGTTCTCTCCTTTTAAAAAATAGGTCTCCATGAAGCCAGGTTGGGAGGAAAGGGCCTGGTTGCTGATATTTTTGCTCAAGAATTAACACTGAACTCTGCTTTGACAAATAACAGTAGGAATGTATCAGAGGATTTTGGATTGAAATAATTCAGTTGAACTTTATGTTTTCATCTTTCATGTTCTATTTTGATTAAAAGTAAAAACCCAGGCATCTTACTGCTGTTCGCCTTCTTAAGATTGTCGCTGGCCAGGAAGGTTTGGCATGCCATTAGAAGCAGCTGGGAAAAAAAAAAGCAGCTGAGCCGTAACGTAATTGGATTTCACTTTTTGTAGCTAAGGTGGTGCCTCAACAGATCACACACACTTCCCCTCGGATCCAGCCTGATTACCCTGCGGAGAGGGGTAGCCTGATCCCCATTTCAGGACACCGGGCCTCTCCAAATCCTGTGGCCATGGAAACCCGAAGTGACAATAGGTAGGGAGAATGTGCCGGTCACACTGCCCCATTTTATCATTAATTGTTTTGATTTTTCAATACAACAAAATGTCCCACAGATGTGGTATATATTGACTTACTTTCAAATTTTCCTCATTACATCAGAGAACTCATACTATTATTAGTTATGTCAGCATTAACTGCTTAGTTAAGGTGATGTTTGCCCTATTTTTTCACTGTAAAAGTGTACTTTCCTTCTTTGTAAACAACTAATTTGTCTGGAAATACTTCAAGACTGTAAATACCCTGTTCCCCAGTAAACTTTCATTCAAGAGTTTTAGCGTCTATTGATGATTCTTGGCTGAATCAGTTGCTGTTTGGAAAATAGTGACTTTTTCTAACTATGATTTCTTCCATGTTTATCATTTGACAGTCTTATGTAAAGAAATTCTGTCCGTTCCCCATTTATTTATTTTGTTGCATACTTCAATTTTTTTTAAATCAGCATGGGCTCATGGATTTGTTGTTACTCATTATTATAGTCTATTACTGTCATCTGTTTTGATGCTAAAATTGTCTCCAGGTTGGTCCTTGGGAGCCCCTACAGGCTGGTCATTCTGTTTCCGCCACATCTCAGTCATTCGGGACCCTCCTAGCTCCCACCCCCCCAACCCCCCAGCACTCCAAGCTGCTCCTGAACTTTCAGCCCTGGAATCTGCCATTTCTCCAAGGAGCCCTGGGTTTTTTCATCAATTAGAAACCCAGACCTAGGCATCAGCTCTGTTCATTGCTACTGTTATCATTACTTCTAGGCCCTTTCAGCAGGCCTGGAGGTAGGAATACATTTAAAAACTCTTCAGTACACACGGACACTTACGGTTGAACCCGTTCCCTCCGCCCTTCCACGTCTGCCTCTCCCTCCCTTCCCACGGTGCACATGAAGTAATTTCAGAATTGGATCATTTGAATCCTTGTTTGGTTACCATGGTATATAGGAATGCCTGTAGGTTTATTGTATCGATCTTGTGTCCATCATCTTGCTGAACACACCTATCAGCTTTAAAAGTGTGGAGTCTCTTGGATTTCCTATGCTGATGTTTATTTCATCTACAAATACGGACAGTATTTTGAGGGATGAGGGAGTTTTTTCAATTTCATCTTGTATACCTACATTTTTCTTGTTGGCTAGAACTTCCAATACGATGTTGAACAGAATTCTCATCTTATTCCTGACCTAAAGGGAATTCTTCATAAATTTCCTCACAGATTTTGGTGGATACTATTTTCAGTTTGAGGAACAGAGTTTCTTTCCTTTCCTGTTAGGCATTTATACCACGAATAATATTGAATGTTAGTAAATACTTTTTCTGTGTCTTTTGCAACATCTCAAATGATTGTTCCCTTTAATTCTTTAATATCTGAAACATGAATAGAAATTCTGTTATTGAATCATTCTTCTCTGGTAAACCTTATTTGATCATAATGTATTTAATTTTATATGGTACTTAATTCACTTTAATTTAGGAATTTTTTGTCAATGAGGAATCTTTTCTTATACTCTCCCTGTCCAGTTTTGGTATTGGGCTATATATTAGGCTCAAAAAATAAGTTAGAGCTCTTCATTTTCTGGTCCTTGAATCAGTTTGTGTAAGTTTGGAATTATTGCTTTTGTGTATGTTTGATAAAATTTGCTCGTAAAAGCAATCTGAGCTTAGAGTCTTTCAAGTGGAATTGAACAGGGAGGACCTGAGTTTTTTGAGTCAGTTTTGGTAATTATTATTCTATGTACATTTTTATGTTTATTGATAGTTATTAGTACCCATTTATATTTTAAAATGTTATTGTCTCTAGGCGTGTATCCTTTGATCTAATTGTTTGGGATGCTATTTGGGAAGTGCTGGTATGACAGTTAAGAGGGTGAAGAGGATCTGGAGAGTAGGGGCGTATGCAGATACGGAAGAAAATAGACAATCTGGCTCATATTAGCTATCTTCCATCTATAGGCCATCTGTTCCTGTTCAGTTCCAGTACTTTTTGCCAACGTACCCACCTTCTGCGTACCCACTGGCCGCACACACGTACACTCCAATCACCAGCTCTGTGTCCACCATCCGACAGTATCCAGGTATGTACCCCACTGTTAAGATGATGTAACATTTTTATTTTTGCCTGTAGAATCAATCAGTATTTCTAGTATGGATTTAATTACTCCAGCTTCTATTTTCAGATTCAGATAAACCTAAAATCTGAAGCTTTAAGGTTTCCAGTCACCATCTCCGTGATTTATAGAAAGGTTGTTTTTTTATTGGCATGGTTTTACCCCACCCCAAGGAGAAACATGTTAATTGCTGTTGCACCGTAAAGTGGTAATACCCTTAAAATGAATGAAGGTGGGCTGTGCAGGTTTCTCTTGTCCTGTGGGGTAGTTGTGTTTTCAGTCTTAGTCCAGTTATGCTCAGCACTCACCATCCTGACGTGAAAATAGTGTTTTTTCCCAATCCAGGAAAGAACAATTCTTAAACATCAAGGTTTGTGTAATCTTTTCCTGTGCGACACACAGACACATTAAGAGAGCCAGGTTGTACAGGTTGTGGATGTTGCCCTTTCTCATTGAACCCAGGACCGCGGGGGGCTGTTGAGCACTTGAAGGGGGAGACCCGCCGCAAATGAAGAACTGAACTTTCCGTTGTGATTAATTAAAATTAGGGAAATTTCAAATACATGTATTCCAAATGTCTGGTTTCATTGCACTTCACTTTGTTGCACCTCACAAACAATGGCTTTTTTTACAAATACAAAATGTGTACAAGTCTGTTGGCACCATTTTTCCAAGCACGTTTGCTCACTCTATGTCTCTGGGCATTTTAGTAAGTCTCAAGGTACTTTAAACTTCTTTATTATATTTGTTATGGTGATCTGTAATCAGTGATTATAACTTACTGAAAGCTCAGACGATGATTAGGTATTTTTTAGTTATGGTGCGTACGTTATTTTTTACATGAAATCCTGTTGCACACTCAGCAGACAACAGTAAAGGGTAAACATAACTTCTGTGAGCACTGGGAAACCAAAGCATTCATTTGACTCACTTAACTGCAATATTGAGTCTTTAATCAAACTATCTCCCAGTCATGCTTGTGTGTTTAGAACAACAGCCATATGAAACTACTTTTTCAAAAATTGTAGATTTTATAGAATTGAACTACCAATCAAATACTTTTGATAAAAACTTAATATCTGAGTTGACATGTGCTTTAAGAGTAAAATATACCCTAAATTTTGAAGACATATTTTGGACGAAATGAAAGGTAATGTATTATTCCTCAGACATGTGACTCAGCATGACTGAAGGAAGGCCTTATTAACCAGCTTACGCTGTCCTGTTTTCAAGTGTTATGGAGTCTGTGGCTCATTGTAAACAATTCAAAGCAGATGTTTTCAAATCAAGAACAGAATAGGACAATTTATACATAATAGACTGTTATCTTGCCAAATATAAGGTTACTGTAATATATAGTTTATGGTAGGTTAGAATCTTGTTGGTCATTAGTTATTAAATATAGATGTGGATGTATTATTATTGATATATACACATAATTGATAAAGTTTTCAAGTGATTGATCCCTCACAAATTGTTCCTGAAATTTCATTTGTTTCATAGATGCTTTCCCATTTCATTCATTTGTGCATTTATTAATTCCACAAATGCTTATTGAAACCCTTCTGTACTTGTACGTAAGGTCCTGTGGTAGGGTCTGTTTTTAAAGTTGACTCCTAAACAGCTCTTACTTTCAGCAAGCTTAGAGTCTAGTATGGAGATCAGATGTGGAGAGATACTACAGGAGAAAATGTTCCCAGTCCCAAAAGTGAGGCTGGAGCAAAGCCATGCTGCGCCTGAGGTCAGGGTCTTTTCTACTTGAGAGGCCAGGAGTGATTTCCCACAGGAAGTGACTTTTGGAAGGCATCTTTCGGAATGGGTAGGGCAGAGCCATAGTGGGGCTGGAGAAAAGCACATTGTGGATAAAGTACCCTCAAAACGTGTGCTCGGACAGGGTGGTTTTGCTCTTGCCAAGAGCATAGTGTTGAGGATGCAGAGCGTGGGGTAAGACTGGGTCAAGAAGGCATGAACGGTGACGAGACTGCATGGTCTACACAGACAGATGAGCAGAAGCTGTTAGTGCACAGAAGTGACACAGGTACACTCCTCAGGAGGAGACTCACCCTGCTCCAGGGATTGGCTCTTTCTCTCATTTACAGCAAGGGAAGAAGCGCAGTAGAGCTGCGACTGTCAGTTTACATGTACTGCCTTTTCACTGTACTTTTTTCATTCTCATAATTATTTCCCCTTTTTTTAACCTATGTGGTTTATAAAACCTTTTCCATAATGTTATTTCTTCTTTTTAATTGAGATATAATTAACATAGAATATTATATTAGTTTTAGTGATTCAGTATTTTGTATATATTATGAAATGATCACAGTATGTCTGGTTAACATCTGTCACCACATATAGTTAAAAGATTTTTTCTTGTGATGAGAACTTTTAAGATCTACTCTTCTAGCAACTTTCAGATGTACAAAGCAGTGTTTTTTACTATATTCCCCATGCCGTACAATACATTCCCATGACTTGATTTATTTTATACCTGGAAGTTTGTACCTTTTGACCCCCTTCACCCACTTTACCCACCTCCCTCATCTCTGGCAACCACCATCTATTCTCTGTATCTATAAACTCAGTGTGTTTTTACTTATCTTTAGAGTCTATGTATAAGTGATATCATATAGTATTTGTCTTTCTCTGTGTGACTTATTCCACTTAACATAATGCCCTCTTGGTTCATCCGTGTTGTAAACGGCAAGATGTCATTCTTTTTTATGACTGAGCAGTATTCCGTTACATATATGTACCACATCTCTATCCATTCATCTGTAGACACTTAAATTGTTTACATAGCTTGGCCGTTATAAATAATGCTGCTATGAACATAATGGGTGCATGTATCTTTTTCTGCGTTGTTTTGATGGCTGAAATGAGAAGTCTTCTGTGTTTTCTTTCCACAAATAATGAGAAATCCCTTATTTTTTGCTGTTCCTAGGAATGCTTTTATTTTCAGTTTTATTGTTGTTGAGTTTGTTTTTGATACACACAGTAGACAACATGTTTGCCTTAAAGATAAAAGGAAACTTGCTTGTTCTTTCTTTTCAGTGAATATATGGGATTTTAAGTAATTAAGTACTGTATTTCAGAATTGCCTGTCATAGTGGTTTTAACAATTAAAGCAAAGATTCTTGACCATGGAGCCATGTGTGTGTCTCAGAAGTTTTATACTATTTAGCACAGTTTCCTGGTTTATTGTATTTAGTAAATGACTGCTTTTTTCTGGTTTTAATGCTTTTCTAGCAATCTGCAGAAAGATCATATCAAATGGGTGGGAAGTGAGGAGAAAAAACTCTGGTGTATACAATTTTGTGTAGCACCTTTTTTTTTAACTGACTGTTTAGAACCTTGTACATTGGAAAAATTTTTTACATTTTATTGTTTTTGTGGACTGTGTCTAATCAGAACTGAGACTCTTATAGTCATTTTTTGCATCATTTTTAGTTTCAGCTCAAGCTCCAAACTCTGCCATCACAGCTCAGACTGGTGTTGGGGTGGCATCTACAGTCCACCTGAACCCCATGCAGCTGATGACAGTAGATGCCTCTCATGCTCGACACATCCAGGGGATCCAGCCAGCACCCATCAGCACACAGGGGATCCAGCCAGCCCCCATTGGGACCCCAGGAATACAGCCAGCACCGATCGGCACACAGGGAATTCACTCAGCAACCCCAATCAGCACACAGGGACTTCAGCCTGCCCCAGTGGGTACTCAGCAGCCTCAGCCGGAAGGAAAGACGTCAGGTAATCTTAATTTTTTGCGTGGGAGTTGGTGTGGAGGAAGACACACTGGGTTTGCCCCTGGTTCTGCCACTTGCTGGCTTCGTGGTCTCGGGTAATTTTTCTGGACTTCAGTTTATATTTGTAACATGAGTTGCTTAGAAGCTGCCCGTTGGGGTCCTTACAGGCATTAGTGATCACATGTATGAATAGCCTGATGCACATCTCTGTGCAGTCAGAAGCCTTCTGTGATGGGCACATGGTTAAGGGAGCAGATTCACCTTACAGCGAGTTGTTCTCACTCCCTGTGAGAGTGGGCTCGCAGCTGTGTGAAAGCTTTAAAATTAAGGCAGACTGGACTGTGGATGTCATTGTTAGGGATTGAGAGATGGTGGCTTTACAGAAGCTGTAGAGCATTTCTTAAAGCATACTATGAACCTTATTATATCTCATTTGTTAGTAATGATGATTACAGAACTGAGAAAAATGGTTATTGACCGTGTATCAGTAGCCTTAGTAGCCTCTCCCTCTTTGCCATCTGCCTCTAGGTGGACAGACGCTGTGCTCCTGCCCATTACCTTCTTGCACCACATAGGCACAGCAAGAATACTCTGATTCTGGTGGGCTGATGGTTCTTGCTGTCTCATGTGACGTTGGAGTAACGTTCCTTTCTCCCGCCTCGTTGTTCTATCCCCCCTTCCCATCCTCCAGCAGTGGTGTTGGCAGACGGCGCCACCATTGTGGCCAACCCCATTAACAGTCCGTTCAGTGCCGCTCCGGCAGCAACCACCGTGGTGCAGACCCACAGCCAGAGCGCGAGCGCCAACGCGCCGGCCCCGGGCTCGTCCCCCCGTCCGAGCATCCTCCGGAAGAAACCCACCACAGATGGGTGAGTGGGCCCAGCAGTGCCAGGTGGCACCTCTGTTCTGGATCTGATTGGTGTAAACCCAGCCACTGCTGGTGCAAACTCTCTAATTTCTCATCTTCTGGGGCACTTTAAATATCCTCCAGAGTATCTTGATTGCAGGGTGCTGGGTAGAGCCTTGCCAAGTGCAGACCACAGAATGGTGGGAATCCGTTGAGTCAGTGGCATGTCTGTGTGTAAGCATCTGTTGCACACTGGGAGTTCTCTCCAGTCCTAGGAATTTAATCCTAGAACCCCTAAAGTGCTTGTACGGAACTCCTCAGGCTTATCTAGGTAGGCACATAAACACATACTGTATATTTTTTCCTTATCATCCAGCATGAATTGTTCGGGACAAGCAATTTGCTACACGTATTAAGGGACCTATCTAGTAGCAAATAGTGTCTGTGTTGCCATGTAAGCTCTGAGGTGGAGGGTCATAGGCAGGAAAGTATGTGCTATGCTATGAAACATAAAAGTTTAGGAGGTGGGGAGATGAGCAGTCACATTTTAAAGAGCAGAGTTTCTGTGGTTCCACTGAACTGATAAGCATCAACATCAGAAGATTGAAGCACAGCAAGAATGTAAATTGCTGGGTCCACGCAGTATTTTCAGATGTGCAGATCTTTGCCCAGCATGTCTTTTAAAGGTAAGTCAGTGAATGGCAAAGCAGCTTTATTAATGAAAGCACAAGGCAAAGCTTGTGGTTAAGATGGCACATTGCACATGCAATTTTAAATGTCCTTTCCTCTCAAAACCATACGGAACTTGTCATAAAGATGCTTTTTAAAAAGACTTTAAGCATACATCTTACTACACTGATGGACAGTGACTTCAGTGGGGTATGGAGGGGACTTGATAATATGGGTAAATGTAGTAACCACAATGCTTTTCATGTGAGACCTTCATAAAAGTGTATATCAATGATGCCTTAATAAAAAAGAAAAGTCTTTAAGCACACAAGATGGGGAGAATAGAAGCTACAACAGCAGTAAAACTTTAAAGCTGGAAAGCAGATAGGCAGGGGTCACTCGCTTAACTGTGAGAGAGCTGAATGTCAGGTCTGCAGAGGAGAACAGAGACCCAGCCTTGTTTAAATTGCTGAATCTTCAAAAGGACCAGCAACATTAAGAGCCAGGGGTAAAAGAAGGCTGGGCTGGAATTTGGAAAATGGGTAGAGTCCTGCATCCCCTTCCTTACCTGCACTGAGGAGTGCATGCCACTCCCCACCCCAGCAGGCACACTGGGGGTAGCCAGTACCCAGGGGTCAGGGGTACACTCTTCATGGGCCACTGGGATCAGGTGGCACAATGAAGACCACGCATGTTCCACCAGAAACAGGTGGTGACTGGGCATGTGAGGAGTGCTGAGACCTGCAGCCCATTCTCCCTTGTAGAACCCTGGCAGTCGGACTGCACTCTGGAGACAGACTCTCCTTTCCTTCTGGGGTCCATGCCGCCCAGGGGGAAGATTCACTGATACTGACACGAGGGGTTCCTGAGCACAGGGATCAGATCGCCCTACAGTGAACCTCGAGGTCGACAAGCCCTTCCACGTGCTCAGGGCTTCCACCTGCCTCTCAGGGCCCCGCTCCTACTCATGAGCACACAACCGAGGATAAGCAGACGTCTAACAATGCGAGATGGAAAACACAGGACACATCCTGAGGAAAAGCAGCTTGGAAGATCCGAAGCTAGGCAGGGAGAATACAACTACAACCAAACACAAAACCAGTGAACAAAGGCAAAAACTCCGAATACTCTTGTCCAAGGGCAAAAGAAAAAAATTGCGCCCAGTGAACAGGGAGGCAGTGCTGTCCGGAGGCGGCATCGGAGAACTAGAGTGTGTCCTGCAGCTAGAGACGTGATGGTAGGGATCCAAGACTTCATGCTGAGTCGGAAGATCAAGTTGAGGGAATCTCTAAAGTAGAGCAAAGAGACAAAAAGAAAGTAGAGAAAAGACAAAATGAAAGAACCAATTCAGGAGATCCACCCTCCAAGTAATGGGGTTCGGCAAGAGACGCCAGAGGAGAGGAGGAGGAGCACTTAGACATGGCTCATGGGAGACCCCCAAGGGGGCGGCATGGGTTTCCTGATCTCAAGAACCAGGAAGTGCTCAGCAAGCGAATGGTTTATTGCACCCACAGGGCACAAATAAACCAACACAACAGTGGAGACAGAAAGATGCACCCCTTCTCCCACACCTCGCACCCCGCAGGACCTTCTGCCACGCCCTCTGCAGGCCACCATCAAATTCCCGCGTCTTTCATCACTCCAAGCACAGCTTTTTAACTGGAGCTTAGCTCTTCCCAAGAGCTTAGGAAGCTCTAAGCTCTTGCTTAGAGTCCCCATTCCCCTGCCCTCTCTCAGTGGTGACTGTCTCCTCCCCATCCTTCCTGTCTTTGGGGTCAGTGTCCTCTTTGGGCCTCACTGACACTTCAGAAGCATTGGATAAAATTTGCAGCTGAGAAAGGAGTTTCACAGACCCACATTATCCCAGACACACTGAAGTTTCCCAATAACTAAACTCAGTATCAGTTTTTAAGTGCAAATTATTTAAATGAAATATTGCTAACAATTTTGCTCCTCTCTTGCACCGTCACCTTTCAAGTGCTTAGCAGCCCTATATGACTGGTGGTTACCGTGTGGACAGGGCAGCTTTAGAGGCATGAGCAGACTCCAGTTTAATTTGAAGCTATGTTTGTATGCCCATTGGAAGGTACATAACAGCTGCCTGTCATTCTGTCTTTAATGCAAACAAAAATGGTTCCCTAGCTTTCTAGCCGCTTGCTTGAATGCTTCCACTCCTGCCGTCCACCCTCCGCAGTGCACACACCAACAATCAATCCCCAGCCCTCCTCAGCACAGAAGCTCAGGAAGGAAGAGGCCTGGACCTCTTTTTCTTCACTCCAGTGTCCCCCAGCCTACCTTCCCTCTTCCCACCTCCCTGGTGCAGTCCTCAAACCCAGCGACCCGCCCCTGGGAGCCTTCAGTCTGCTGACCCTACCACCTTCTCACGTTCTTCACTGCCTTCCCTAGCCTCTTTCTCTGTCCTCCCTGATTCAGCTCTTGTGGCCTGTTGCAGTCATTTCCTGGTATACAACCTTGATTTCCTTCCCCCCTCTTCACTTTGTCAAAACCAGAGTTGAGTCAACTTTCTGCCTAATTTGTGCAGTGGATTGGGGCAGGGAAACAGCCGGGTACTCTCCTAGAGAAACGTTTTCATCTGCTCTTCTCCTGTGTTCACTGTTAGCTTACAAACTGGCAGCCTACTTTTTTGACAAAATGGGAAGTTAGCAAAAGAGAAGCTCCACAAACACTGCCCATCTCATCTCCCTGCCAGCCACATGTGCCCTGTGTGCTGCCTTCCCATCTGTTAGGATGAAGTCAGCGTTCTCTCGAAGCCCCTGGCTTCAGCCCTTCCCGCCTGCCCAGCTCTTCTCCCTCTTTCCTACTTCATCAGTTTTCCCTGCTAGTGCATCATTCACATTAAAAAAAAATCCTTCTGTTGACCACTTTGCTCCATTATCTACCCCATTTGTTGCTCCTGTTTTCAAAGAAAATAAAGGAGTTGTCTTCCTGGCCATTTCCAGTTCCTCCAATCTCTCAGCAGTTCCACCAAAGTGCAGAAGCTGCACAGATAATGTGTGAACGTAACGAGTTAGCACGAAGCGAGCTCAATATATAGCCACTGTGTGGGTCAGGAAACAAAACTGTACCAGCACTTCTCCCACAGTCACTAACCAGTTTTTCTTTTGACCATGTGTGCTTGTGTGAGTCTGTCTTCTTCCCTTGGTTTTGTGTTCATCCATG